CTTCGTGTCCACGTTGTCGCCCCATGTCCCATTTCATCGCTGTCCCTGGTCGGGGGTGCAGTGCGGTTTCCGCAGCACGCAGGCCGTGTGTGACAGCCAGCTCAGGGCCTGGCCACGCCCATCAGCGAAGCACATGCCGTAACGCCGTGCACCTTCCGTGTGCCCACTGGTTTGTTTGTATGTAGGTGTACACGCATGCACACACACACACATACACAGCGACGCCTTTCCCCTGCCGTGGCACCCTGCACCCGGTTGCCTTGTTGCCAGGCCTCCTTGCGTCTGTTCATCTCTCCCCGAGCCCCTCTTCCCCACTCCCCAGCCGTCTCTGGCACCTACAGTGGCCTCTGCTCTTCCCTGTCTTCGAGTCTCTCACTGAGTGTGGACCGTGGGTCTGTGATTAGCGTGGACACACTGGGTCTTCGCTCATCGCCTGGCTTTGTCACTCAGCATTGCATTCTGGGTCTGTCCATTTTGTATCAAATGACAGGATCGGGAACCAGCAGCTAGCGTAATGGCTATGTCGCTGGACTCCCATGTAGTCGACCACAGATCGAGTCCTGAACCTGGTGGCTTAAAACTCACACCAGGCGTGTGTGCGTGCATGCCCAAGATTCCCAGAGGAGAATGGAGGGGAAGGGATTGCGGCATGACCATCTCCTCTTGGGGGTGATTTCTTGCTTTCTGTCTCTCTCTGTCTTTCTGGCGAGTGCACATACCCTATAGCAAAAACCTCTTCCAAAAAAAAAAAAAAAGTCATATAAAATTCTATTTCACCAGTTCAAACTCATGTGCTTTATCTGTTGTGGTCTGATCTTTCCGTTTAAATTCTGCAAGATAACGTTCAACTTTGGACTTGTCCCTTCCATTAAGCTGACCCTTTTCTTAGTTGTTTTTGAACTCTTGTCTCTTTGTGTCTGACTTTAGTTTTCCTGGGATAGCATTCCATTCAGAGCTTCTTGGAGAGCTGGTTTGGTGTTGGTCTTTCAGGTTTTGTTTATCTGAGAATGTTCTTGTCTTCTCTTCCCATATGAAGGATAATTTTGTTGGATATAGTATTCTTGGTTGAAATTGTTTTTCAATCAACACTTTGAGTATATTTTCCCATTCTTTCCTTGCTTGCATTACTTCTGATGAGAGATCTGCTGTTAGCCTGATGGGATATCCTTTGTAGGTAACTTGATGTTTCTCTCTTGCCAGTCTGAGTATCTTGTCTGTCTGTGATTTTGGTCATTCTGGCTATAATGTGTCTTGGAGAAGATCTTCTTGAGTTGATTCTATTTGGGGTCCTTTGTATTTCTTGGGTCTGAATCTTTGAATGCCTCTCTAGGTTAAGAAAGTTTTCTTCCAGGATTTCATGGAATAGATTATCAATGCCCTTTTTAGCCTCTTCACCTTCTGGGATACTAATTATCCAGATGTTTGGGTGTTTCATCATATCTAGTATTTCTCGTATATTATTCTCATATTTTTTTTTTTTGGCTTTTTCTCAGTCTTCGTGGTGGATTTTACTAGTCCAGTGATCCTGTGTTCCACATCCGAGATCCGAGATTCGATTTTCTGTATGATCTAGTCTACTTTTAATACTTTCAAAGGAGGTTTTTACTTCCTGTATTACAGCCTTCATCTCCAACAGTTCAATTTGATTCTTTCTTACAGCGTGTATTTCCTCTTTCAGCTCTCGCAAGAACTTCCTCACCTCCTGGAACTCATCGGCTTTTTTTCTTCTGGAGTTCGTTGTCTCTCTTCTCTTCCATTTCTGTAAGCTTTGTCACTATGAATACTCTAAATTCTTCATCAGACATTTCTGTGAGTTCCATTGTACTGTCTGTGGGTGAAGAGGAGTTATTCTTTTCTTTTGGAAGTGAGGTATTTTCTTAGTTTTCCATATTTTTGGTGCTCCTGTGGTGATCTCTAGTCATCTGATTTGTTACTCGTTTCTTCTTAATTTCTAGAAGATCAATCTGAGTGATCAGAGTCACACAGGAGGAGGTGGTCTACAAACTAATTGTGTTGCATTTTTCTCCCTTTGTGTCACAGATTCAGTGGGAGTTGAGGAATATGAGGACCCAAATAGTATTCATATTTGGGCAACATTTCACTTAGACTTGTCTAGACACTCAGTGGGTGGAGGCTGAGCAGCAAAGTAATGAGATAAAAGAAAAGGATAAGAAAACAGAGAAAGAGAAAAAGGAAAACAGACAAAAATGTATAAAGCAAAAAAAAATTATTCGTTCATTTTAAAAAACAAAAAAATGTAAAGTGAAATCACTAGATCTCAGCTCTCATGGTGGACTCAGTCTTCTTTTGGCCTGCCCTTTCTTTACCTAGATGGGAGGGGGAAGAGGAGGGGATTATTACCAAGATAAAAACTTTACCTTAAAATATTTTTTAAAAGGAAAAATTTTAAAAATGAAAAGATGGATGGGACCAGCAGGTGGCATGGTAGTTAAGGATTGGACACTCCCACATGGCTGACCATGGTTCGAGTCCCAGACCTGGTGGCTTGCTTTCTCACTTTCTCTCCCTCTCTTTCTCTCTATGTCTCTCTCTGGTCAAATTAAAACAAATGAATGAATAAATAAAATTAAATAAATAATTCTTAAAAAAGATGAAAAGACGGATACAGAGAGGCAGAAAGAGACTGAGAGAGACAAAGAGAAGGAGACAGGGGCTCTACAGGGTAAATTCTCAGCAGAACATCTTTATTGCTCTTATCTCTGAAATCACTAGATCTCAGCTCTCATGGCGGACGCAGTCTTCTTCTCTTACAGAATTCTTTTTTTCCACAGAAAACTTTACATTCTTTTGTCTGTTAAATGTTTATTCCCTTTGCTCATCCTACCTAGCTCTACTACCCACTCTCTTTCACCCACTCCTTTCTCTTAGTCTCTGGTATCTACACTTGTCCTCTGCCATCACACCCTCAGATCTTCTAATTTCTGCTGTAGAGTGCAGACATTTTGTCCATGTTGAGTGGGGATATACAGTGTGTATCTTTCAAAGTCTGGCTCACTTCGCTCAACATTAAGTCTTCTATGTTCTCCCACCTTCAATCAAATGATAGGGTCTTGTAGTTTCTTATGGCTGAGTAACATAGTATGTTAGGTCATCAGAAGAGTCAAGATACAGTTTTGCATAGAAAAACACGTCATGACTTTTCTGATGACCAATATATGTGCCAAAGTTTTTCAACACAGGCATCAATTTTTAGACACTTAGGTTGATTTTATATCTTAGCGATTGTGAACAGTGCTGCAATAAAAATGGATGTGCAAGTGTCTTCCTGACTATTATCCTAGCCTTTGGGTAAAGACCAAGGAGTGAGATTACTGGGTCATATGGTAGTTCTATTTTGGGGAACTGCATATTGTTTTCCATAGAGTTTTTACTAATCTACATTCTCACCAACAGTAGAAGAGGGTTTCCTTTTCACCACACTCTTGTCAAAACTTGTTCTTTCTTTTTTTTTTTTTTTGACCCTAGTCATTCTAACTGGGGTTAAATGGTATCTTATTGTGGTTATAATTTGCAATTCTGTTATGACAAGAGACTTTGAAGATATTTTCTATGCCTTTTGGCTATTTGCAACTCTTCCTTGGAGAGTTGTCTATTAAATTCATTTGTCTATTTTTAAATTGGATTATTCTCTCTCTCTCTTTTTAATTTTTTAAGATTTTTACCATAGGGCACATGCACTCACCAGTGAGAGAGAAGGACAGAAAATGAGAAATCACCCTCCAGGGGGGATGGCCATGGCAAAATCCCTTCTCTTACATTCTTCACTTGGGATTTTGGGCATGCATGCACATGTGCCAGGTGTGTTTTTCAAGTCATTGGGTCCAGGATTCTAACTGTATAGTCAACCATGTGAATTCCAGTACCTAAACCACCTTGCCATTTGCTGGTTCAAATTATTTTATTTTATTATTATTATTATTTTTTAATTAGTGAGTGAGCTGCTTGAGTTGCTTATATATTCTGGTTATCAATCCCTCTTCTGAGGAATAATGTGCAAATATTTTCTCCTATTCTCAGGGTTGTCTTTTCACTTGAACTCTTGTTTTCTTTGCTGTTAAGAAGTTTTTTAGCTTGATGTAGTCCACTTGTCTACTTTTGGGGTGACTGTGCTGTAGGGTTCTTATTTAAGAAATCCTTGCCTACTTTTAATACTGTTAAAATGCATCATAACAACAATAATAAATTTTAAAAATGTGTATTTTCTTTTAACCCACACATAATTTTGAGTTTTTCATATTGTTTTGCTATGTATTATTTTTGAGAGAAACTCGTTTTCTTTTGCCTCACATGCTGATGTCCTAAGATCATGGTATTGGAAGTTCATTGAATCTAGGCCACATCTGCAGCTGAAATTATTACCTGTAAAATAGAAAGTTTAGCTGCATGTGGGAAATGTGCTGCAAATGGCTCATTTCCAGCCTCACAATTCTGTCATCACTTCCCAGCTCCGCATCAGTGATTTTCGTTACCAGCTTGAATTTAGCCATGTGGGGAGTATTTACACCACAAGAATGGGCATGGGCCACAATAAAACATTTGCTGAAATATTTTTATCTGAATCAGCAGTTACGGGTTGTCACTTTAAACAGCAATGGGATTCCATAGGATAAGATTTCAGGATAAACTACATAGAAAACACCTGGTAAACAGTGAATGTCGTGTGGGTCTCAGGCAGGGGATTAGGGCACCTTTTGGATATCTTTTCCCGAGTGGTATCTAATTTTCTCCCAGGTACTGAGCCACAGAGCCGGGCTGGGAGCTCTGAGCTGAAATGTGGAGACTCAGGGAAGTCCACGAGGGATGTGGTGATTAGACACAGAGATGCCACCTCACAGGACAGTGGCCAGAGCATGACGGCGTGCAAAGGTGACCCGAACCTGCCTGTGGGACGAGCCTCGTGTCCAGGGGAGGAAGCCAGGGCCCAGCCCGGGAGAGTCAACAGTGAAAGGAGGGACGTGTCCAGTTAACAGTCCTCTACGGAAACACCCCGCAGTGGCCCTGCACGGGGACATGGTTTCTCCTCTGGAAGTGACCGTCCAGAGAGCACCTGCCCTGGGCTTTCTTCCAGAAGCTCCTGGGTGGTCGGGGATGTCCGAGGTCCTGCACGCTGAGGGGGGACGGCTCTCTCCTGTTATGTCCTGGCGGGGTCTCTGGGCTCTCTCTGGCTGTACCAGTTCTCCAACAGCAGCACCCCGAGAACCACCAAGATGAAGCCGGCTGCGCCCATCCGGAGGAGGTTCTCCACGGTGCGATCCTGGGGGTGTGGGACTGGGACTGTGAGGACAGGGGCACAGAGGTCAGGGCAGGGCCAACCACTCCGGTCCAGGATGTCCCCCTGGGTCACCGTCTCTTCCCTGGCAGGACCTGACCCTGTGAGTCCAGCCCCACAGCTGGGACCTTCCCTTACTTTCCAGTCTCAGAGTCTGACTTGGGAGGTGACGGGCTGATGGTGGCAGCTGCCCCTGAGAGCCAGTGAGGAGAGGGTGCTGGTGAGGGCTTCGAGACCCGGCCTTCCCCGGGCTCTGCGTCCTCTGTCCCCTCTCCTGACAGAGCACGGCACAGTTCCTCGTTGGCCCCTGACCCTGTGTCAGGCCCCCCTCCTTCTCCCCGGATTCTCAGACCCCCTGTGTTCTGTGCCTCTGACCTTAATCTGACTCACTTTGGGGCGCAGTTCAGTGCAGCCCTGGGAGCTCAGGACTGTGGGAAAGACATTCTCCCAGGCAGAATAGCGGGGCCCTTGCCTGCTCCCTGAATTCAGGGGCGCAGGGCCCCGTAAGCCAGCCCCCCTATTCACCAGCCGAAGGCCCAGGACCAAGGAGGACGAGCTGCCCTCGGGGCTCCTGGGTGACCAGACAGGGTGCGATCTGGGCGGCCTCCCCCCTCGTCAGACCCACCCCTGGACGGCACCGTCGGCTCCACATTCTCATCGGAGGGGCACGT